ACAATAAGAATAAGACCCTCTCCACAGCTGCAGCGGCTTCCCTCTGCCTGGCTGCGCCCAGCCTAAACAGTAAATAATGCAAGCCTTTTCTCTCTTCCAGCGCGCTTGGGGCTAGAGGTGGAGGAGCTCCTTGCTCTATGCCACACTGGGCGCTGGAGAGTGCAACCTGTGGTTCCCTCTCGGGAGACCGCGCTCCAATCCCGTCAGTCCCCTGGGACCCCAGAAAGTTTCTTGAAAGCGCAAACTCTTACCTGACCCAAAAGGTCATAGCCCAGCTCCTCCGCGATAGCCGAGGCTGCTTCCGGGCCCCCGGGGATCTCCGCAGCCCATTCATTGACAAACTGCCTCTTAGCTTTTACACTGTTCGACGCACACCAAGCGCAAAAGAGGACGAAAGCTGTACACTGCAGAGTCCAGGCTTTTCTCTCCATGGTTCACACACAGTGGGTCGGGGAGCAGAAAACACAAGCACGGTAGGAGAAAAGCCAGACAGACTTCCCCTTTCCACCCTCGGGCTATGGACTACTCCAGACTCCCGGTAGCGCTGTGAAGAGCTAGGAGGCGCGCGAGCAGAGGCTGGGCGGCGGCGAGCGCTCACTGAAGCGCTTCGGTCTCCTGGCTGAGAGAGCCCAGCCCTTCCCAGCTAGAATGGAAATGAATGTTTACACGTCAAATCGACGAAAGCCATCGCTTGACGTCAGATCTACCTGGACTAAGATCTGGATGGTATTCCCGGCGGGGTGGAGAAGCGGCTAAAATAAGCAGCGAAGGATTAAGAAAGGGAAGAAACCGTTTGCTGGGATCAGCTAAGTCTGCTCCCTGTCTGCAGCAAATTCTGTAGCCATGAGAAACATCTTCACTTCTTAAAGAGAAGTGCCCCATTTGTGTATAACTATCAAGAACCAAAGGCTGGGAATTCCACCCCTTCTTCATTCTTCCATCTATTCTTTTCATATCCACTTTATCGTCTCATTTGTGTGTGTGTCTGTTGGGTGGGGGGCGGGTTGTCATAATGGTCCTTTGGATATTAGTTTTTGCTATGAAGAACAGGGCTGTTAGGTGCTTTGATTCAGAAGCTGGGATGGCATAGGAGGGAAGCTACTACTCCCCAAATTCTGGTCTAAATACCCTAAGAAAATGAACACTTCGCCAAGACAATGTTGAAACGATATGCTTTCAAATAAAACAACCATTCGAGCCACCTTCGTTTACAAATTTACTTCCCCTTCTTTCCTCCTCAGTCTTAATAAAAACAGTATCTAAAATTCTACTCCAGACACGGCAGAGTCCAGTACCCTACCACCTTTCCAGTGCTCATCCGAAAAATGATTACATGATTTTAAAGAAAGAGAGAGTTTTATTTTCTTTCTTTATTAACGACTGGGGGTTAAGGGGTTAAGGGGTTAAGTCCCAGATGTTGTTGCTCGGCAAAGAGAATGAAAGGGCAGTTTTCATTAACCCTGAACTTCCCATTTTTTCCTCAGTAGAGCTCTTCATTTTGATGTTGACCTGAAGCTGTGCCATTACTTTCTCGTAAAATACACAGTATTCTTCTGTGGAATGATGTTTTCCCGTGGAAAGAGAATAGGCAGATGTCTAAATGAATTCCCCCAGTCCCCGCCGGAGGGACAAGAGTTCAGTCTTCCGTGATGGAGCCTGTTCTGCTTCGGAGCAATTGAAGCTGGAGAGAGATCTATCAATGCTCGTTTTCAGCACCGAGGTCTGGACAGCGACACGCGCACAACTGCGCCGGAGCTGCCTTCCCTTCTGAGTACTGGGGACTTCCGCCCTTCCGCAGCTGGTCAGCACCAAACTAAAAATCTTTCCCTTTAGCCCCACGCCTTTCCCCTGCTGTAAATAGCAAAACAGGAAATTGTCCACAGGGGGGAGTGTGGTTAAGTTCATGATCGTGACTCTCTCGGGGCCGAGATCGTGGAAACAAGTTGGACGCAGTCCAAAAGAAAAATCGCAGGGAGGTGAAAGTGAGCCAGTACATCTCTGAAAAAGAGTTCTTTGGTTTTGGTTTTGGTTTTGGTTTTGGTTTTTAAGCTCCCAGCCGCCGGGGGGCGCAATCTATTCTAGAGAAAGAGAAGGAAAGGGAGAAGATTGGAAAAAAGACATGGGAACATGTGGAGAAAGGAAGCAAGAGGTTTGTTGTTGTTTTGCTTTTGTCTGTGTGTGTGTGTGTGTGTGTGTGTGTGTGTGTGTGTGTGTGTGTGTTTAGAGAGGTTTTTTTGCTATAGGGCTCGTGTGATTGCCTGAGAGACAGAGAGACAGAAAGCGAGAAATCACTCCCCAGGGGGGATGGTCACACCGCAATCTCTTCTTCATTCTCCTCTCGGGATCTTGGGCATGCATACACAGGCGCCCAGTTGAGTTTTAAGCTGCGGGTCTAGGACTTGAACCTCAGTCGACGACGTGGGAGTACAGCAACCTAACCATTACACCAACTGCTGGTTCCAAGATGTTTTTTACAAGAAGCAAATGAGACAAGTCTTGGTGAAGGATGGGGCTCCAAAGTGCTAGTTCTTTATTTGTCTCCATGTTTGCAGAAATGTGGACTAGATCGATAACTTCTTTAGACAAAAGGCATCTTTACAAAAAATGCCAATGTTAATAAGATGTGCAATTTAGTTAAGTGCAATTCTTGTGTGAGAGCTTTTGCAATGGGCTTAGATTGGCAGCTCTGATATCTGATCAGTAATTCCACATGTGTGTGTGCTGATGGCATGTGAGCTGTCTTCTCTTCGCACCTCGGCCTGAGGTGTGGCCTCAAGCTCTCTAGGGTGTTTCATCCTTACAGCAGACAGATGAGAGCTAGCAAGGCAAGGGAAACCTGTAGCAATTGTTTAATGATGGTAGATATGGTCAGAGCAGGAGTACATTTCTTTCTCTCATTCTTGTCTAAGCAAATCGGTTTGTCAGGGTGTTGGCAATAAGGCCAATATCTTATTAATAAAACATTTGCTTAACATACAGCATCACACAACCCTGGAATAAACATTTGGGTGATATACTTAATAGGGCAAGCTAAATTCTCACAGAAAGAAGATAACATTCCATTCATTTACTATTTGTCAGTAATTTATTCTGAAATTATCTAATTTTTTAATCCGTGGACCTTGTTAGTCACAACATCTGGAATGCAGAAGAAATTAATTTGTTCCAAGGGTAGGGGTACAAATAGATTTAGAATACAACCCAACTTTTTCCTACAAAGGGCTACTTCTATCCTGCTGTGTGGGTTGTAGTCTTAACTTCTAGGCCCATCAGTATTGTAAGAGTCAATTATCTGGGACCAGCAGTTGGTGTAATGGCTATGTCGCTGGACTCCCACGTAGTCGACCACAGTTTGAGTCCCAGACCCTGGTGGCTTAAGCTCACGCCAGGCGCGTGTGCATGCGTGCTCAAGATCCGGAGAGGAAAATGGAGGAAAAGGGATTTCGGCATGGCCATCTCCCCTGGGGGGTGATTTCTCGCTTTCTGTCTCTCTGTCTCTCTCTGTCTGGCGAGCACACGTGCCCTATAGCAAAAACCTCTCAAAAAAAAAAAGAGCCAATTATCACCTTTAAGTTGCTCTTAATAGCATTTGATTCATTGATTAATTTACAGGGAAAACAGCACAATTCAGGTACTAAGAGGACTGTGTTTTGATCACAAATGATCAAGTGAGTGGCATGCCTTTCATTGCTGTTTTCAACTGCACAGTGATGCAGTTAATCTTTTATTAAGTGTTCTTCGAGAAAAATAAGAGCAAGACTAGTATGAACAAGAAGAATCTGTCCAGAGGAGCTCTGTAGATCACCATCTCTCTTTCATTTTAGAAAACAATTTCTGAAAACCTTTTGTTTCTGTGAAATGAAACACTTATTCTCAGGTACACTAAACAATGTGCTCAGTGATTTGTCACAAAGTGAATATGTGTAAGCAGTGAGGTCAAGAAAAAGGCTATTTCTAGCCCTACAGAATAATGAAAGAGCTATATCTTAACTAAAACTAGCTTAAACAAGAAAAGAGAAAATGATAGGCTCGTATAATTAAGGCATGAAATAAGAAATACAGAGCCAAAGAAACTTCACCCACAGATTTAAGCAGCATTCACAAGTGCTCTCTCTCTCTCACACTCTTCACTTCTCAGTTTCTACGCTTCTATAGCTCTCAGTTTTTTTATACTTCTGCAGGTGAATTATATGACTATTGGTACTTTTGGGAACACGGCTTCCCAGTTCATGATACAGAGAGTAAAAGAAGACCTCCTTTCCATTCTGAATATTAAAGTCCCAGAGAAGAACTCTAAGGGCGAGGCTCGTGCAATAGGTTCACCCTGGCACAATCACTGTGGCCAGGATGTTTTAGTGCTGTGATGGATCAGATTTGGCTATCTGGTCAACCTTGTGTTTGCATGTGGGTAAGAGAAGGGTAATAGCTTTCCTATGGCTTGTGGTCACATCATTATTTGATAGTTTCTAGTAAAGCAAGAGCAATTCCCCAAGGAAAGGGTGAGGAGGAGATTCCCATAATAAAAAAAGAAAAACTGTTCAGAAACATAAACAACAATCACCATGCTCTTCAGCAGAAAGAATGCAAGTAAAGAATAAGCACTCAGAATCTATGATTTCCTGTTCTGAATGTCATCCCTTATGTATTTCATACATTTAAGATCCATTCAACATTTAGAAGCCAAATATTAATGGTGAAATTAGTGAACTTAAACAAAACAACAAAAATATAACATGTAGGGGACCAGCAGGTGGCATGGTGGTTAAGGTGCTGGACACTCCCACATGGCTGACCACAGTTCAAGTCCTGGACCTGGTGGATTGCTTTCTCACTTTCTCTCTCTCTCTCGTCAAACTAAAATAAATGAATGAATAAATAAAATAATTTTAAAAAATAAACATATATAACATGTAATAGATAGAAATAATTTTCAATTGCTTAACATAAATTTGGGGTAGAGTGATAAAAAAACCATAATCTCTTTTCCTAACTTTTTATTTTAAAATAATTTTATATTTATAAAAATTTGCAAAGAGAGTACACAGACCTGTCTGATATCTTTCACTCAGCTTTTGCAGGTTTACACCTTCGTAACTATAGTATAATTAATTAAACAAGGACATCAATAATGACACAAATATAATTGATAGATCATCTTCAAATTTTCCAACTGTTTTAGTAGTATCTTTATTATGGTCCAATATACAATTTAGGCTCCCATTGTACTTGGTTATGTCTTCTTCAGTTTGATATATCTTCTCTAACTGCATTTATTTTTCATAACCTTGAAACTCTTGAAGAATACTGGCCAGTTATTTTTAAGTTTGTTATTGTATTCATGCTAGAGAGCACATGTGCATGCATGAGAAAAAGAGATGGAGTGAGAAGCATTCCTGACAGAGTCTGGTTATACCATGGTACCTTTCCCTCAGCCCTTCAACTCATTAGGATTTGGAGTATGTGTACATATGCCTGGCATGTTTCAGGGCAGTAAGACCAGGGACACAAACTTGCCTTTGACCATGTGGTTTCTAGGATCAGTACACTACCAACTTTGCCACCAAGACTGGGCCTGTTCAGTTATTTTATAGGTGGCCTCAATTTTGGTTTGTCTTGTGTTTTCTCCTAATTTGGTTGG